TTATCCAATATGTTGTTTGTGTTCCTGCAGCATCCTCCAAAATGACTTAGTCAAAAATAAAATTTAAATTATCAAAACTTCTAATATTTCTTCTCTTACAAAAAATAACCAAGCCCAACACTAGTTACTGAAATAAATAAAAATCTAACAGTGATATAAAAGTAACAGTGCCACATATTGCATAGAGACTATTTAAAATGCAGCTGAGGTAAATACATATCATATATACAGGATATTTAAAATCTTGCACTAATAGTTCTGGGAGCACAAACACTTCTTTCAGTGCCATTAAGACTTATTTTTAAATGAATCAACCTAAAATATAACCTGTTGAGCTATCAGTTATGGCCACTATGTTCTATCATATAAACATATTTTATGCAGTCTGAAAATGCACATCCTTATTTGATATATTGCCATTACCTGGAAATCTATTACACTGTAGTTTCTAAATGAGAGACTAGAAAATTTCCAACACATTTTTACTACAGAAATTCAAAGCTCAGTGAGGGCTTTAAGAAGTCTTAGGTAGAAATTAAAATTGAAACTATGAAAAGTCTGAACATCTGTGTGAACACCTTAGGTTCTCATAGTGGCTGCAACATCACATGAACAAAAGGTTCTGTTCATCCTATATTAGGATGAAAGAAAAAAAGGTCAATTCAGTAAATTCAATGGTTGGTTTCTCAGCTAACTCAGTGTTGGAGTAGTCTGTTAGATTCAAAACAAATCTCAAGATTTCCACAGTTTGGGAACAGGGTCCAGTGATCTAATTGGTTGAAGAAGGAGGTGGCAATGATTTTAAATAGCAATGCTGGATTATTGTAGGCAATTAGAGCATATTTAACCTTTCACACTGCTTTATACTAGTGCTGGATGTAATAAAAAAGAAAAAAACTTTAAAGGGATAAAATATTATAAAGATTGTGCTTACTGTCTCACAAAAAGATGGCATTTTGCTCTTTGCTGAAGTAAATCGTGCAGAGAGAGGCAACCTGCAAAATTTGATCTTCTAAAGGAAGAGGAATTCATCTGCCACTATAGGGTGGGATTACTTCTGCTCTTGAAACCTGGGGTGCTCACAGCCAAGCAGAAATGTGTGAGCTGTGTCTTTGCTGCCACCCTTTTCTCTGAATGCCTTGACTTCTCTGCTTGCAGTGTTAGTTGTTGTAGAGGCAGCTTTGGTTTTTAAAGATAAAACTCTTCCTCCTCTTCAATCTCACTAAACGTGCTGTGCTCCTTATCCAAGACACGGATCATTTTAATTCAAAGCATTATTTTTGTATAAGATATCAGTCTGGCTTACATTTTCCATGTAAAACACTAACTTTTAATGACTTTTTAACAAGGAGGATTGTTCAGCCAACTTCTGAGGTTATCACTCCCAGAACTGTGGGACAAAGCACTGCAGATTTATTTGCCCAGCTTATCAAACAGGCCACCAGCTTTTATTATTTCAGGGAGAATCAAATTGGAAGTTGCTTCTTGAACTAATCAGGGCTGATTTGCTCTAAAGTTGCTTCCTGACTTAGATCTCAGGCAAGGAAGTGCTGTAATCAGTTCCCAAGGGCCGTCAGAGTTGTGATGGGATATTAAAGGAATGGTACACTACCTTTAAAGTGTTCCCCAATCCTGGCAGATTTTTGTGTTTAACACAGTTAAACCTGAGCTGCTTGTATAGAAACAAAAATTAATTTCATGTGGTAGCTTTATGTACGAGTCGAATGTACTTGAGGTAGCAGAACGGAATTTTGGAGAGAATATATTCCAGTTTCCTCCAGGGCTTGTATATTCAGTATATTCAGTATATTGAGTATGTTCTGTATATTCTGTATATTCAGTATATTGAGTATTTTCTGTATATTCAGTATATTCTGTATATTAAAAATACAGACTGGCAGAATTCAGAATTATTCAAAATCAGACATTTACTACCCATCAAAAAACAAAACAAACCAACAAAAAAACCCAACCCCAAAAAAAACAAACCCGGGAAAAAACACTCAAAAAAGCAAAAAAAAAACTTCATGAAAGAGAAAATGAGTCCCCCTGAGTGTCTCTGTTTGCATATTAGCCCATAGCATGGGCTCTGCCAAGTCACTCTCTGACTGACTGCTGCAGATGCTCTTTCTCAAGTATTCTGAGTGAGATCTTTAGTGCAAGTCTTTGGGGACAAACAATAGCACCTGTTCCTCACAAGACAGCAGCCCAGTTAGTCCATTCATGTATCTTTAATGAAGCTCTGGGGCAGATGGCAAAAAATGGCATCATCAACGACTTAGCACAGAGGAGACAAAAGGGGAAAGTGCCGACCCAACAATGAGCTATTTTTACGAATGGGAAGAGACAGTCAGAGTGTTTCCTGGGCATCTGCTCCCGTCTTGGTTTGCAGAAAGACCTGAGGAACATCTCAGCAATTAAAATTTCTGGGCATGTAGCCGATTTTGTGAAGTACACCAATCAACCCCTCCTCCCAGTTTCTCCCTTCTCAGGAAAATCAAGCCCGTTATCTTCGTAATAATGAAACTCTCAGGGATAGAAATTGTCAAAAATTAAGGAGTTAACTGGATTTTTTTTTGCATTCATTTTATAAATTTAATAATTATGTGATCAGTGACGCTTTTACATTCTCTTCCTTTTCAGTGCTTGTTTGTGCTTTTCAGTTGACCTGTGCTGAAAATGGACACCTATGTATATAACAATCCTGTGTGAAACCAACACTTATGTAGGAATAATATTTCATATGTGCCAGAGGGAAGACCCGTGGGAGGGAATGGTGGCCTTTCACTATGAGGTTTTTTTCAGTCTGTATAAGTCTCTTAATTGTACATCCAAACTTACAGCCTAAATGTAACCTTTAGTCAAAGTTATGCTGATTTATATAGACTGAAGACCTGCTCCTGAATTCAGACTAGGAAGAATAGCAGATAGCCAGAAGTGATAATTCTCCACACTTACAGAAATGCTTTTATTTGAGAGTTTAAACAAAATTTATACAGCTGAGTAGATCAAAATCTGCAGGAGTACATTGCAGGATTTGGTTTTGATATGTTTTGGATTATCTTTATGACACAATTGAGTGAAATATTGCTGTGGCTGTTTGCACCTTCACTCAAACCACAGCCCTCTGATTTCTTCTGTCTTGAGAGATTGTATTGGAGTCTTGTACCTTTGCAGCCCCATGTAAATCCTTTATGTGGGGGATATTTCTTATGATTTTGTCTCCATCTGATTAGATTTGAGTTAGGAACTACTGCAAATTTTTGCAAGTTGCATTGCACTGAACTTCTTCCAGCACCTATCAGACAAAGCCTCTGGTTTTCCTTTTCTGTTCTCCTGCAGAGCCAATGTATAGAAACACCACACAGCAAAACCAGGAACATTTTATCAGAGCTGAATGCCTGTTCTGGGCACATGGGGATCAACTCCAATCTGACCAAGTCTAATACATAACCTAAAACACACAGCCAGGCTTACCTCAGCTAAAATGAGAGAAATAGCTGCTTAAAGCTAGTTTCTTTCACGCCCCAGTGCCATAGATGTAATTGCACAAAGACCTTTTTATTATAAGTTGATTTTCCTGAGGAATGGATTCAAAAAATACTGTAAAGTGTTTATTTTTTGCTTGACCTTTATTAACCTCCATCTTAGGGCTTTCCCAAGAGAAGAGTTGTTGGTAAATTAACCCTCCTAGAGACACACAGTAGCATTTCTGCACTGCATCAATGGTTGTGAAAGTAATGGAGATATGACAAGAAAATTTGGCACTATTTAAACAATGTCATAGGTCAACATATGGGATTTGACCAAAAAAGTTTTTTAGGAATTAAAGGCAAAAAATTGCCTGAAGTGTACTTTAAGTTTTTAATAGTCTTTAATTCCACCGATTTATGGTACAATGAGGGAATTTTTTTTTTTCTGCCTAAACCTCCATTTTTCCCTACATTTACCAGCTTTGATATGTTAAGCTTATATGTTTGTTTAACCACTAATCAGAAAAATCATAGTCATGTCTGGGGTTAAGGAATGATGGATAAAAACTCTTTGAGATCCTAGCCACTGCCTGAAACACAGGTACAGTAAATTAAGGAACTAGGAAATTACCACGTGGATTTAACAGGCATCATCCTATCACACAATTCTCTGCATGTTCCACACAAATGCTAGGATAAGGAGAAGAATTTCTTTCCTCATGCATGTTTGTGGTTTTTTGAGACATTTATTACGGTCAAATGAAATTTGATGGAGTAGGTTTTGTTCTCAAATGGTCTCTGAATGCAGCTCCATAATCACCAAGCTATATGATGGTGCATAAAGCCATCAAACTGCTTAGACAGACAAGCAATTTATTTCTTACAGTGAGGTGTGTGTGGCAGAGTATGGTAGTTTGTTTAGGAGCCAAGGTGTTGGAACCTTAAATCTGATGAGTTGTGGTGCTGACTAGAAGACTCTTCAGTACTCTGGTGAGATTTTGAAATATCATATCTGAGTTGTTGGTATTTATGTGAACAATACCCTGTTGCAAGATCTCAGAATTAAAATTTCCCTAAGGTTACTAAAATCTGAGCATCAAAGTAGGTACTGCAGTGTCAGGTTGCTTCTAAATGCTTGTCACTGTGCTGTTTGTGACCCAAGGTGAGAAAACTTGTGAAAAATTAATAGAGACACATACCACACTGCTTTTGCTAAAAACTTTGGTGTGTTTTGTACCTTTTTACCTTGTGCCAGGACAGGGAATACTAATTAAAAAAAAATTAAATAATAGAGAACCAGGAAGAAACAGGGAAAAGTGCAGTTCACCGAGGCTGCTCCACCTTTGACACTGAGGGAAAACAATGTTTGTGGGGGCTTTGATGTGATAATGTGAAGCTGGCAGGGATTGCATTAAGGTGAAGGTTCTGTGGGACTGTGTGAAGGCAAGAACAGTATCAGTGCTGGAGAAATACCTGTCAAGACAAATTTGTGCCATTTCTGATCAGAGGCTCTCTTCTGTTTAGCAGGTTCAGGGTCACATGCCTCCGCTCATGATCCCAATTTTTCCACACGACCAGAGGACACTGGCAGCAGCTGCTGCAGCCCAGCAGGGATTCCTCTTCCCCCCAGGAATAACATACAAGCCAGGTAAGCTCACAGGGATGTGAGGCTGTTGCACATTTTAAGGCATTTAAGGGTAGCTTCCTGTGAGATCTGTCTCGTACAGGTGATACACAGCAGGCAGAGCTGGCTGGAACTTCTGCAACTCCACCAGAAAAAAAAAAAATACTTCTGGATTGAAGGAGGTGGATGGACATCGTGATTTTTTTAAACCTAATTTCCACAAAGTCATTTGCTTTAAATATAGTGGCCCACTTGCCTAGCAATATGCATCTGGTCTGCCCTATACAAAAGCTACATGTCTTTAATTAATTCTGTTATCTTCAGTATATTTGTGTTTTGTGGCAAAATTTTTACTCTTTTGTTTGATTTCAATCTGGTTAATACAAGGTTTCAGTGTTCAATTCCAGTCATCATTCAGACTCCTAACAGGTCACATAACCTTGCAGTGAAATATGTTTTGAGATGATTTAGCAAATGTTATGATTTCTTTCTTTTTTTCCTCTGAGTTTACAGGACTCCTGGGGAATTCAATTAGGGATATAATGGTTTGAAGCTACTTTCAGAGACTCCTTGTAAACAGGGCTTTAAATGTTTAAAGACACTTTGCCAAAGGAATTCAATGTAGGAAGATATTTAAGTAAATAAAAGTCAACCTTATTTTCATTTGTACATTCTTTGTAAGTGACCTCAGTCCAGAAGCAGCAACCTTATTTTGCTCATTAATAGTATTCTCTGTCAAGCTGCCTTTAGCATATTAACCTGATAACTAATAACTACAAAACATAAATAACAGTTTATTTTTAATTCATTAAATATGAAACATACCAAGTAAAGCATTGATCCTTTTCCCACTGATGTTAGTGCTGCTTTTGCTGTTGACTCCTACAGGAACGAGGTCAAATCCAAAGTAAAGCCCCATAATAGATGATGTAAACAGCATGCTAATTAAAAGCCAGGTTGAACCTAGAATCTTTTCTAGCAAGTTTACTTAATATTAGATGAAGTGGGGCCAAGCAGGATTTCAGCAAGTATTTCCGTTTGTCCCACTCCCTTCTGTCTCTGTAGTCCAGAGACTTTCCTCTCTAAACACAGATTCTTTGTCTACTTATCTTATTTTCAGGTTTTGAAATCTCAGAGTTCTTTTCTGATTTGACAAACTGGTTCCCTGTATGCTGGAACCATCACTGGGGTTTCTGCAAGGCAGAGGGCTCGGGGTGGAACAGGGTGAGGGTCATTCCCACCCATCCCTGCCTCACAACAGTTTGGGACCAAACACAAAAGGTTCCCAGTTGTGCAAATTGCCTACAACGCCCTGGCTAAATCTTACTGCTCACAGACAAGAGAAAGCACATGCTTTCCTCGATTTTCCTATTTTCATCTGAGATGCTTTCTGCCTGTTAGTGACTAAGCTGATGGCTGTGCTGCCCCCTGAGAGGTTTTATGTTCAATCGTGTTAATTTTGGCTCTCTAGACTTGGTACAAAAGTGACTTAGGAAGGAGAGTTACCAGCACGTTTTCCTGAACATGACCAGTTTTCTGGACTTAATCTACAGCATTCCTCAATAGTGCCTATTCAACTTGATCCTATTGGCCTCCTAACAGCAGGTGATGCAGCTTTAGGGCATTTTCTTACTTGCCAGAATGCAGAAAGAGAGATATTTAACAAAAGTTAGAAGAATGAAATGCAAGAAGAAGTCTAGGCCTAGATATCTTGGAATGCAGTGAAGCTGTTTGCTGGTGCTAGTAAAAGATCAGAAGTCACAGTGATCTGATCATAACCAGTGGCTTTAAAGAAGTTATAATATTTATGCCTTTTATACATCTATTTTATATATCTATTCTACTGCATGTAGATGTGGCAAAGGTAGGTGGGCAGGTCAGTAGCTTTTGTCAGAGACACATCATGATAAAAAAAAATGCTGTAACTACACTTGGTATTGATTAATTCCTATTTTTGGCACTCTCGGCACAGTAGTTAAGGAATTAATGAAACTGGAGATTAAGCTATACTCTTTCATAGAGAGGGTTCTTCAAAGTCATTTCTGAGGAATATTTATGAACTTGACTGCTACTACCTGTACTCTTCTACTTTTGTGAGAAATGAAACTTTCACCTGCAGAACTGTCAGTTTAGACTTGCTCCTACCTCAGAGGGAAGACAGGAGATGGATTAACCCTTCAGACACTTGCCATTTTCTTTTAGCTTGGTTTTTATGTTTCACTTCTATTTCATTTCACTGCATTTGGACGTGGGCAAGACTGAGTTTTGACCCTGCCAGATTTACTTGACATTCAGAAAATACAGTGAGAGGCATTTCAATAACGGGAGCAGTGGGGAATAAGTATGTTTGAAACCCACTCTGTCATTTCAAGAATGTTGAATGTTGTGTGCACAGTCACTTAATTTGCTTTGCCTGCAGAACAGGCTAGATAGAGGCTGGCTGCAAAGTGGGAGAAGTGCATCAGGACACCCAAGATGAGAAGTCCTGCCTTGGTGTACAAGCAGGGGTATGATTATGTGTCCATGTCCATGCAGAAATGTCTTCCTGGGATAAATTGGGAACCGATTTCATGGCTGTTTAGTTCAATGCCAAGGTAGCAATTACTGATGGTGTTGCAGATTTGCACACAAATGCTAGGGGTTGGAGGAATAAAATGGTATTCTTTAACAAAATAGAGGACTTCACACGCTCAGCTGATGGTCCTGTAGAAGAGAGGAGAATTTATTGGGTTTTGAGGCCCTTCCAGTATTGCTGCTCATGAACTTCTGAGCTCAGCAAATCACTATGAGCAGAAAACTTAAGGACTTGCTGATATACAGCTATGATGAAGCCTGACAGGAGAAACTTTCCTTCTGCCTGGCAGAATCTATAATATTGAGATGGCTATAACCCTCCCCCCCACTATTTTGGAGCTCTAGGAGGTGAAACAGGCCAAAGTTAGCAAGTGCTGATGACAAGAAATAATTGCATTAGAAAAAAAAAAAAATCCCCAAAGTCCCATGCTTCCTTATGTATCTCAAAGTCATGTAATATAATTTTCCGGCATGGTAAGTACTAATTGAGAAATCAGAGCTGCATAGACCACCTAATTAATTTTTTATACATATTTCAGTATTTATACTGTATACTGGATTAATTAAAACTTGAGGGCGCTGTGCATCTCAAATGACTGTTGTGACTATTGACCTGCAGGCGCCTGACGAGCCTCACAGAGTACCTGGTTCTGGGGGTTGCCACTTATTCCAGTGGGAAGCTGAGAGTGGCAGCTGTTAGGAAGCTAATACTTGCCCAGAGATGCTACAGAGGTAATAGAATTATTTTGCATTCCGAGGAGAGCAAAAGCAACTGTGCTGGTTTTCTGACTGTGACCACCACACTCACAGCTTGGAACTGGTGGGCAGCAGGGGTACCATTATTCCTCCTCTCCCACTGCAATTTTCCCTTCATTTAACTAAACACATCCAGAAAAACTTAGTGGGCTGGAGTATCCTTGAGCACAATTAGTGTGTCCCCATTAGTGCCCTGGGTCAGGAGGACAAGACAGTGAGTAGGATGAGGAAGATGAGGATGAGGAAGGATAATTCCCTCCTTCATCTTTCAGTGACTAAAGTATTCCTTCTATCAAGTTTTGTGGCTGAGAGGGAACAGGGAAGATGATGATGGAGTAAAGATATAAAGCAATGCTAGGTAGGAGGCAGACCATAAGTTGAGCAGATCTCAAACAGAGCTATGGTTTGCTCTAAGCAGAGAGTGGGAGCACTGATGTCCATGCCAGTCCATGAGACTTCAAAATGTATGATCATTTTGGCTTTAAAATGTCCTGCAGATATTTTGTATTTTGCCATTTCTTTGCCACATCTGGAAAGTATCTCTGAAAAAGATTACTTAAAATAAGGACAAGGAGTAGAGTAAAACTCAATTTAGGCAGGTTTGTTGAGTGATAAGCTGCAGTGTATTTTCAAAGCCTTTTTTTATATTTCATACAAGAACGATATAAAGCCCATGATTAGAGTGGCTAAGAAACAGCCCTACCTACCTAGGTCATTCAGCTTTATGCACAAAAATAATTTACAAGAGATTTTTCTACACTGAAATGCAATGTGAAAGTGGAAACTGTTTTCCTAGGCTGGTGACAGAAACAGAGTCAACATTTTGGCCTGATTCTGTTTGTAGTTGCACTGGGGCAAATCAGAGAAAGTAATTTTATTAGGGAAAGCATGACAAACAAAACTGTCAGGCTTATTGTCATCAGGCTGGACTTCAGAACATTCCAATACTGTGACATATCTGTCATCAAACTAATTAAACTCCTTGATTACTGTAGCTAATCCACATAACTCACCTCATCTTAGATGTGCTGGATTTCTCTGATATCCCACATCACAATTTCCATTTGGATTAGGTCTTTCAGAAGTTCTTCCTAAAGCTCTAAGGTGGCTCAGATTTTCCATATCTAAGTATTCTTCTTTCAGGTAAGTCAGTAGGCTGCTCTTCCTCCTGGCAGGTGAAAGCAGGGATGACACACCAAATCCTCTGTGTGCTCGGTGGGCTGTGTGTCTGTGAATGGCTTCAGGAGTCCCTTTTGTAATGGAAATTGCCCAGGACAGAGTTAAAGACTGCCACGTGTCCCCTGTTGGGTTTTACTGCTTGGAACAAGGATTTGTTGTAGCAATCATATGTGCCCCAGTCCTAAATATTGATGTAAAAGCTGGAAATGATGGCAGGCATCTGGATATTGTCAGGTAGGACAGAAATGTGCAAATTTCCTAATTTTGCAAACATTACCTGCAGACAGAAAACTGTGAGGGGAAGGTGATTTTGCTGCAGCATGAGAAGAATGGGAACAAGGCAGAGCTGCAGCACACCCTGTGCAGGACAAGGCATAACTGAGGCAGGGACAGGGGACAGGGGAGATGCTCCAGAGTATTCCCTTAGCCTGTTAGCCCTGCTAACATCTCCCTCAGCCCTGGTGGCTCTGGACAAGCAAAATTCATGCCCTGAGTGGGAATACTGTGGGAGTGTCCATCTTTATCCCTGCAGTATCCTGAGAGCTCCTGAGGTGTGCTTTGCTCATTCTGCTCAGGTGTGCTTTGCTCAGCCCGTTCAGGTGTACTTTGCTCAGATTGTTCAGGTGTGCTTTGCTCAGCCCGTTCAGGTGTGCTTTGCTCAGCCCGTTCAGGTGTGCTTTGCTCAGCCTGTTCAGGTGTGCTTTGCTCAGATTGTTCAGGTGTGCTTTGCTCAGATTGTTCAGGTGTGCTTTGCTCAGCCCGTTCAGGTGTGCTTTGCTCAGCCCGTTCAGGTGTGCTTTGCTCAGCCCGTTCAGGTGTGCTTTGCTCAGCCCGTTCAGGTGTACTTTGCTCAGATTGTTCAGGTGTGCTTTGCTCAGATTGTTCAGGTGTGCTTTGCTCAGATTGTTCAGGTGTGCTTTGCTCAGCCTGTTCATTGTGTCTGGAAGGAGAGGGCTCTGGTCTCTTGCAGCTCCTCCAACTCCATTTCCTCTCGTTCTGTGAGTGTGAAGAGACAGATTTCAAGTTACAATCCCAAAATGGGGGGAACATCACCAAGCCAAGAGCTTTCAAACTCAGATAAGGAGAGCCAGCTTATGTTTTACAATCGTGTTTTAGGATAGACAGGTAATAAAGTAACACCTTCCCCCTGCTCTGGGTCTCACAGCAGCCAGGCATCCTTCTTTCCTCACAGCTCACAAAGCCTTGATCTGGAAGGTAAGTCTATACATCCTATAAATAAAGTCTGCTAGGCTTCATCTCTTCATCCAAGACAAAAAGAAATATTTACATTATTTCTGTGTAGAATAACACAGCACAATTGCTCACTGCTTTTATTCATTTGGAAATGTTGCTCAACCTGACAAACGAAACAGAAGTCTGGCATAATTTTCCATGGCTTGTAAACACCAATTTATATATAAACAACAGCAGCCAAATGTAAATAGACAATCAGCACAGCAAGGAGATTGAAAAGATCAGTTTGCAAAGCATGACAGATTTTCTTCTTCCAGCATTCTTCTCACTCCTGGTTATCAAAGGCCAGCACACAAGCAGTACCTCAGGCAGACCTGTTTGAACATGCTCTCCTGCCTTTTGTACAAATTTAAAAGAATGGATCCTCACGCAAGCATTCCAAATTGAGAAACAAATTTGAAAAAAAATTGCTACAATGCACTGACAGATTTCTCTCCAAGGAGCTGCTTGATCCATTCTTGCACTGAGAAAATGAGAGGGGGAAATCTGTACCTCTGTAATTAAAAATTAAAACCAGAGCATTCCTTGCATGCTCCGTTTGCTCAAGGGAGAAAGAAGTACCTTTGCTCTGCTTTTACTCCTTGGTGTCAACAAAGTTCTCCAGAGCTGAAGGAGTATTAATTTTTCTTCTCAGCACAAAGATGCTGCTGACATATTAGGACTTAGCCATAATTTAACACATTAAAATGAGGGCGAAAAGGGGCAGTATTGGGCTTTAATAACAGATAAACGGCATAACTCTAAGATTCTTCTTCTTCCTGCAACAAAAGAGAGCACTGCAGCCAGCAGGTGAGCAAGAGAACACTACAGGGTGTGGTGAAGATCCCATTAAATTAACTGTGAAGCCAAAAACTCTGTGTGTGTGTGTGTGTGTGTGAGCATGTGGGTATAAAATATCTGGCTATTTCAAACCATGGGAGCATGACAGCTGTGAAAAAGGAGTGCCGCAGGGAATTCTTTTAGAGTTTGGTTTTTTTTAAAATATGTTTGACATGGAAAATGTTTTAGTACAAATAAAGCAACTGGTATTGAACTTAAAAAGTGTATGCGGAGGGGAAGGGAGAAAGAAGAGATTGCTGTGTGGAACAGGGATGAATTATTCATGATATTTAAAGAAAGAATGCCTCCGAAATGTTCTGCAAGGCAGTCCATGCTGATAAGTCGGATGGTTATTTTCCCCCCCATTTAAAGCATCATTAATTCAACATCTTTGTGATTTTTTAAAAAAAAAAGAACCTTGTGAGATATTTCTGAAAGAAACATTATTTAACTTAGATTAGGATCTTATTTATTCAGATAATTTCGTATAAATATCAAAGAGACGAGTGGAATTATTTAACCATAAAGAGACAGCTTAAGTACTTTAAGAAAATAATCGAGAAGTCTTTTTTTGTTGGTTTTGTTTTTTGAAAGGAAAAGAACCTCAACGTTGTTGCACGCTAAAATCGACCTCATGGAATGGGGAAAATAAGAGGAGATATTTTGAACATTGCTCCATAGGACAGCAGTACAATATAGTGTTAGTGGATGCATTGTAGCAGAGCTCCATATGCAATCAGAATCCAATTGTTACTGGACTGTGTACAGGCACATACTGTGCTCAATGGCCTGATGAGGTATTATGGATATGATGCAAAGAGACCTTGTGGATTAGACGTGTAGCATTTATTAAAAAAGTGAAACAACTGAACATTTTAACTGAGCTGGGCACAGTAGAACTTCATGGGGTAAAAAGAAGGAGTTGTGAGGAATCTGGTGACTGTGAAGACTTCAGTTATCATTATTTACTTGAGGGGGATAACAAAAAAAAATCTAGTTCTTGGAATGTCCTGATTATATTATGCTGGATTTCTGTATTTTTCCTTTATTGCTACATTCTACTGTCAGCATGAAGAGTTTGTGTAGAATAAACTGGTTATTGTAAAAATACCTAAAAAACGCACAGCCTGATAAAATGTAGCTTGCAGATAATATATAACACTGATTTTAAATAAGTAGCTGGAGCCAAAGTGATATTCCATTAAATCACATTTTCTTATCCATCACTGTATTCATTTTTATATTCCAGATTACACTGCTAAGCTATTTCAGCCTTCTTTCATTCCTTACATGGACTAAGAGTCCAAATGGCACCGTGTGTTGCACATCTATGGGAACAGCCCTAGATATCCTATAAGTCATCATGTTACAGTAACTAATTTGGGAATTTTAGTACCTGAATCTTCATGTAACTGAGCCCCTATCTAATCTATTGACTTCAGCAGGCCCCCAGATCTAAGAAAAAATTAAAATTGTATTTCGAGCTATATTACAAGGTGATTTAATTTTGTTTTTCTCTATAACTGCCTTAAAGGAATTGTCCCAAGACAAAGAACCCCAAAGCAAAACAAGAAACCTCAACTTGTGTTGAGCCAACTGGGTACCTGTCCCAGGAGCCACTTGACACCAGAAAGAAATTACCTGCATTAAACAGGACTGATATTTCTTGGGATATAACAGACTTTTAATTTTTTTAAGAAACACATGATGAAATCTATTTTTTTTCCCTCTGGGAGCCACTGGGGTTTCCAGGGCTATCTTATCTGTGTGCCTGTGGTTGTAAGACCCATTTTGTGCCCAGGCTTCTGATCTGAACGTTATCTTTCGCAAATGAACATCACGAGTATCGTGTTTATGTTTTGCCAGTTTGCCTACCAGCTATCTGCCAACAACAAAAGTTCCAGGGGAGCGCGGCAAGTCCGTGCCCAGCGCAGCCTTTTGTTTTTGCAGATGTTTGGGCTTAGAGGAGTGCTGTGGAGCCCGGGCAATGCTAGAGCCTTGTTTGCACTTGTCTGCTGCTATTCTCTGCTCATTGTCTGAACCTGCACGCATTGTTCTCCCGACAGGTGATAACTACCCTGTGCAGTTCATTCCATCTACAATGGCAGCTGCTGCTGCTTCTGGACTCAGCCCTTTACAGCTCCAGGTATGTGCCAGAACAACAAAAAAAAAAAAATTAAAAAAAAAAAATGTGGGATGGAAGCCAACATTTTAGGGGAAAACTGCTAACCAGCTGTATGCTAAATAATAGCCTGAATGTTAAATAATTTTTGAGCACAGCCCAGGAGGATTAACACCTTATGTACTTACAGCAACGTGCAGCCAACCTTGATACTGTGAGTGAAAGACATTGTTCTGTGTGTTTAATATTGGCAGGTAATGGTATTTATTTTTTTTATTATTTATATGAACAGTTGATGGGAGATAAGTTCAAAGATCTTCTTGCACTTTATTTTTGTGTGGTTGCTCCTCTGTAGCTGCAATGCACTGCCTATAATTGGAGCAGTCAGTGTATCCAAACAAAAGTACGTTATTGGGATTTTTTTTCCTTTTTTTNTTTTTTTTTTTTTTTTTTTTTTTTTTTTTTTTTTTTTTTACTGTGTGGTGCTGACATTACAATAAATTGCAAACTCTTTTAGCTTCTGTATTTAGGTAATCTCCACCTTTCTGTGCATTAAGCTGGTCAGAAGCCAAGCGTGGTTAGGAGACTTGGTCTGGCCATTTATTTATTTTTGGCACATATAGAATGAAATGTTGTGAAAGAAAGATTTATGTGCAATATTATGAGCTAGCTTCTTGTGGCAAGAAGTTTTTAATTTCAGAAGAAAAGACACAACAATGTCATAAATAATGAAGAAACAGTCAAAAGCTTTCAGAGTTAAAATGTGTGGAAAGAAAGTGACAGTGAACATGAGAGGAAAGGCCATTAAAGATGCATGTAACTATTTGCAAGTAAACCTTTGAAACCCCTATTTGAGTTAGGTTAGAGTCAGGTTCAGAAGCAAAGTAGGAATAAATTGTGCCCAGAGTAGCAAACTATTGCCATGATAATATCTGAATATCTACTTTGCTCCCCCTTTTGTTATTTTCCAGAGGAGCCAAAGCAAATTAAAAATCCTTTCCTCTTTACCCTGTGATGATATTCTTGCCAAATTAACTTAGGATAGGCAAAAATGGGACCAGAACTTGTTCACTGACCACTGTTCACTGGTGATCCAGAGCTGACAAGACTCCTTGATTTAGGTCTGATCTAACCTAGAATCAACATTTGGAAAGAGAACGCCCTGACTCTGCAGGCAAAAATCTCTGAAAAATAATTTTGGGTCATAATAATGTGATGTTAAGACTGTACCTGGGGCAGGATTGAAACCAAAGGGTGGTTTCTCAAAAGGAAAAATAGCAGGCATGTTTTGAAAGTCGGTATTTGATTACTTATTGAAGCAAAAGTCTCACCAGCTTTAGTTGGGAAAATACTGCAGAAATCAGCTTTGTGAACAGACTATTTTTGCTACCTTTGAAATGCACTGAAACAAATAGTGAGCCTAGCCAAGACTGCAAGGCAGGAAAGGATGAAAACTGTTCAACTGTCAAAGAAATGGGATCTAAACCACAGACATTTCTGCTTCTTTTCTTTAACATCCTCCATTTGTAACTTGACCCACATATTTGCACATCAGACTTGATCTGAACCTACAGCAATAATGCATTTTCATTAATTTGCAGAAATGATAGACTGAGTTGTTAAACACGACGAGAACAATTAGAAAGAAAACAACCAGCAAAGATGTGTGCTAGTAAATTCTGAAACATTCAGGCTTGGGGCCCTGAATTTCCATTTAGAAATGCTGCTGTAAAAGACTTTTTTGTTTGCTTGTTTGTTTCCCCTCCTTTCAATTTTATTTGAATTTCATCTCTGTGGGATTTCAAAACATTTAATGTTTCATGGTTATAGGAGCTTGAATAACAGAGCACTTAACCTTCGGTTGATACCTGCTCATCAGATTGTTAAAGTGCCTGAACTAAATTTTATTTACTCCTACTGTTAATTTTCTCTTTGTGTCAATTCTCTGTGTTCCCTAGATGTGCACTTATTTGGGTGTGTTTGTTGGAGAGAATTTGTTGTTATACCTGATGTGTCATGAAGAATGTTAGGGGTGTAGCATTTCAGCTCATTTTTCCATCTTTGCTTCCCTTCCCCCTTTTTCTCTGTTCTGTTTCCTTTCTTCCATGCACCCCACCCACTTATTTATTTACATGCATGCTGTGACCATGGTATCTGAGTATTTCCCAAGTGCTTAAAAATACTGATCACAAAATTAATCTCTGTTCCTTTCAGCTAGTGGGAGAAATAGCTAATTTATTTGCAAGTTTGGTTTTGTTTCTACATGTGAGTGTGTGTATAATATCCATGTTTGGATATTATTTCCCTGGGGAGGGAAAGCTATGTCAAGTAAAAGAGTTTTGCAGTAGCTCTAACGTTTCAACTTTACCAGGGCATTATTATTAATTCCAAAATTATTTTCTATAGTCTGTATCCTGCTAAGGAAATTCTGCCAGTTTCAATCTTGTAATCTCCCCCCCCTTTTTTTTTTACTTATGTTTTCTTTTATTTGGATGATCATGCTCCAGGTAGGAGGTAGCAGCAAATTTCTCATCTTCCTGTGTGTTAGGGCAACTTCTATGCAAGCTCTGAATGTAATAGCACAGAGAACTCTTCTTTACCAGGTGCATCATGTAATGATAGCAATTATTTCACAGAGGATGTTTCTCCAATGGGCAATTGCTAATTAATGATTTGCCTGTCATATTCAAGCTATTAGCACATTGTTATCAAAATGTACTTTCTCTGAATTCTGTTTCTGTGTTCACCAGTGGATTATTTATCTCCATGAGTTCAAAAAACTTTACTGAAATAATAGACAACAGTTTCTCCAGTAACTAGTTTGATTTTCATATATTGTGCATTTAAAAAAAAAAAAAAAAAAAGAAAGAAAGAAAAAATTCTCCTTTAGCAACAGACCAGTTTGACCCATCTTCTCTTTAGATTTTTGATCACATTGATCAGCCCGTGGTAAATACCATTAATATTCACTTGTAGCTTTCAGTATCCTGAAATGAAATAGTAACTACACTTTTATGCCAGTCCAGGTTCCTGAACTGGTGGCTTGCTCTGCTTTGGGTTGATACTAGACAGTTTTTTTTGATGTGTGTACTGATCTCATGAAGGTGTCATTGATGATGATGTTGACAAAAAGACTTAAAACTCTGTGTTCCATACTTCCCACTGACATCTCAGCCCCATCTCACCAGTTTCCTCAACAAATCAGCCAGAAATTTAAATAATATGCATGGTAGGACCAAGCCTTGTTAGGACTCTTGGCCTGAGAGGGAATCTAGATGACGAGGGAACAGTTCTCTAGGTATAGTCTGATCAGAAAAAACAAGCTATTTCTGTTCACCCCTCCAGCCCCAAACAACTGTGAGTGAATAGTTTGCAGATTTATTACCAAACACACCTGTGGCATAGAGGTGTGTGAAACAGTTCTGATACCACTGTGTAACAAAAGCTTCTTGCTTTAATTAATCATTATGAGCTATAAAACCTGTCGATAATTTTCCTTTTGCTCCTTTTCACCTACACCTTCTCTAGAGATTCCCCCCTTTCCTATTTCCCTGAACCTTTTCCCAGTTGTCAAATGGCTGGGCTGATATTAACTGGTCCTAGAGATGTGTGGCCAGCACTCCTGCTAAATGAGTGGACTCGGTCACTAAATGGGTTTTCCCAGCTCTCATAGCAGTAACCTAGTTACTGGGAATTCACAGTGGTGGCAGAGGTGGCACCTGTATGTCCTTACTTTCAAGCAAGGAGTGTCACTATGTGCCCTTTAATGTTTAAAAAAAAAAAACCCTGCCTTTATTCTTTGCATATTTCTACAAAGCTGTCTAGGAGATAAATAAGGAAATGTCGCAACTCCCTCAACCACGACTGATAAACTGTTGATAGAAATGGAAGCATTACAATGATGCTAGCTGGAGTTATTCCTAAACAAAGTGAGCTCTAGGAAAAAAAAAGCAAAACAAAAAAGCTTCAGTTCATAACTCTTTCCCCAAACTATTTGTGTAATTTGTCCTTCAGAATTTATCGCTTATACCACTAATGAACCTTGGCGAATCTTAACTATAGTTGCAGCTGTGTTCTTGAAACCTGAAGTTTTTATAATACAGTTTAAAAAAAGAGAGAGAAATTTAGCTAAACACATATTTGCCTATTTCTTTTCTGGCCTCCCATCTTATCCTGCTCCTCCATACTCTCTTCTAGTTGCAGACAAAGTAAATGACCTTTTTTTTATACTGCTGGGTGCAGATCCAGTGTACTGCTGAAGCATTGCATAGCCTGCCTCAGGGGCACAATATTAGTAGAGGGAAGGCCAAAGAATGCTATTTTTAGTTGAACAGTTCAGCAGATGGAGACATGAATACTCATATATCTGAAGGTTGAGGGGTTTGAACCATTAATTTTGATAATGTATTTAACCCTGGGAACAATCAGAAACTGTAACTCCAAGGTTACAATGCTTTTGACCTTTCGAGAACAGAGGGCACTTGGTACAGTAAACAATATATTACATTTCTACTTATTCCAATTCTCTCACACGTATAAATTTCAGGGCATAGTTGACATTTGCTTTCCTCAGCTATTTTAGTGCTGGTCCTCAAAGTAAGTCCAGAAGAATGTGCAGGAAAGAGGCCAATGTAATGCGACAGCCATGTAAATATGGCCTTTAAATAGCTAAGTTGTTAAACGTGGCCCTTTATGAAGAAATATCATTCTCAGGAACCAGAATCTGGGTGACTTATTATTTCAATGAAGAAGTTGTTTCAGTGGATGGCTGCTCTTCCAGAGCCTCCTCTGTATCTTGTAACCTTCACACGATTTTTTCAGAGGGGCTAATGTGATCTGAGCTCACACTGGAGGTGATTTGGTCCCATTCTGGTACCACATCATGCAAAGTGATGTACCTGCCTTATGTCTTAGTAAATGATGCATGCTCCTCTTCAACAAATATAGCAGTTAAATATCACGCAGCTTAAGTATTTCTAATTAAAATATCTCCATGTGTCAGCATATTGGTAATGTATTATTTT